CGGAGGCAGCGTGTGGTGGGGGCGGAGGGGACAGAGTGGGGAGCAGCAGGGCAGTGGACACACCGGTCCGTCCAGACACGTGGGCTCCGGGGATCTGAGAGCTGAGGCAGCGTGGAGGTCAGGGCTGGGTGGGTGTAGGGGTGCCGGTGGAGCCCGGGGCAGCGTCCGGCGCAGGTGGGCTTCCCGAGTTCTCAGCCACTAACGACGGTTACTCCTGTGCCTCCACCTGGGATGTGCCGTTGGAGGCACCGAAGTGCTGCTGCAGGACCGCCGTGGAATAACGGTTTCTGTTGATCTTGTGGCCGGTAGTAGTGAACGTCACGTCTGCGTGAGCGGCGGGTCCTTCCCAGCCACCACGTGCTGCCTGCCAGCGGGGGCAGCGTGATCACACCTTGGTAGGGTTCCCAGGCAGGCGGTGCTGCGGGGACTGTCACGGCTCGTTAGTCCTGCTCCCCCGAGCTTCATTTCAATAATGAAATGACTGTTGTAAGCGTAATCGCTGGGAACTGCCCGTCTCCTTAGAGACCGAACAGAGCCTTTGCTTATTTTATAAAACTGGGAAAATATGCTTGAAAGAGATGTGGCTTTTTGATCATTTATTTTGAGAAACCCTTCAATGCTTTCTTCACCAGGATGCAGATGCCGAGGGGAAATCTCCCCGGCCCGCGCTTGGCTCTCCGCTGGTCCGACGTCTGGACAGGAGCGGGAAGTTTAGGCGGTAGGCGGGCCCTGCCGCGTGTCTTGCTGCTCTGTGTGGTGAAGCATTACAATCACACATGCCGTCTTTTCTCTTTTAGGAAAATCACATTCCTACAAAGAAAGCACGAAGTGATGACTATGAGGTATCGAAAGGTTTTTATTTCTGTGGGTTTGTGCTGGCTGGTAGAGACCTTGGTGATTGCATTTATGAAGTGCTTCTAGGGTTTTTGCCCATGTAAGACTTTAACATGCATTCTGACACTTTGATTTTTCAAGTGCCCTTTCAAGGTAGCTAGGGCAGAGACCACCATTGGACTTTTTTATTACGTAAAAATACTTGAAACATGGACTTTATCATTTTTATGTTTGGGGGGGTTTTTTGAGAGAGATTTTTGCCATAGGGCATGTGCACTCGCCAGAGAAACGGCGAGAAATCACCCCCGTGGGGGATGGCCACATCATAATCTCTCTCTTCCAGCCACCTCCCAAGATTCTGGGCACACACGCACACGTGCCCGGTGTGAGTTTCAAGCTGACAGATCCAGGACTTGAACCGCGGTCGAGTACGTGGGAGTCCAGCAATGTAACCGTTATGCCATCTGCTGGCCCCACCGTTTTTATGTGTTTTAAGTGGACAGTCCAGGGCAGGAAGTCCTTTCACAGTGGTGCTGTGACTATCCTCTGCAGGACTCTGGTCATCTCAGACTGAAGCGGGAGCTGGGTGCATTAGCTCCCAGCCCTCCCCAGGGCCTGTGGCCACGATACTCCTTCCTGCCCCTGGAACTGGACTGTTCTGGGTACTTCCTTTCCATCTCATTTATGAATGAAAACCTTTGAGAATCAAGACATGAGCCCAGAATGTAGCAGCAAGTTATTTACCGTTGTAGATGGTCTAAAGTAAATGTATTTTGTGAAAATTTGCCAGCTTATCCTTTTATTAAAAGAAAATTAATACCTCTTGTATGTATCATCATACAAGAGGTAGTTTTAGAATCCAGGAACAGCTACTGGGTTGTCGGAAAAGTCATGGTGTATTTTTTTCTGTTTTTCTATGCAAAAATAGATCATGACTTTTCTGACAACCCAATATATGCTAGATATTATTTTTTTAAAGAATTATTCCCTTTATTTTATTATCATCATTATTATTATTTTAAATTTGACTAGTGTGAGACACAGAGAGCGCGAGAAACCATGCCGTCAGGTCTGGGACTCGAACTGTGGTCAGCCATGTGGGAGCCCAGTGCCTTTAACCACCATGCCACCTGCCGGCGCCCATATGCCAAATGTTCTAAATATGTCTTTTAAAGGTGCAGCTTTAACAGCCCGTGGTTAGGACCAGGACACATCTCTTTCTGTAGGTGCCTCCGTCGCCTGTGGATGCAACAGCCCTCCCACCTCCTTCGTCCTCGCTGTCTGTCTAGCCTGCTCCCACCTCTTCTCTCTCCCAACTGAGACTTGGGACCCAGCCTTGACTCTGCTCCAGACTCAGACGCGCAGGCTGTTTAATCCCTACGACCTTTGCCTGCCATCACCCTCAGTTCTCCTGAGCTGGTGTTTATCCAAATGGTCCTCGAGCCTCTACACTGGAATTACCCAGCGTGCTTGTTAAAAATTGAGGTTCCCAGGCATGTGTGCATGCGTGCCCAAGATCCCGAGAGGAGGATGGAGGAGAAGGGATTGCAGCATGACCATCCCCCCTGGGGGATGATTTCTCGCTTCCTATCTCACTGTCTCTCTCTGTCTTTCTGGCGAGCACACACACCCTTTAGCAAAAACCTCTAAAAAAAAAAAAAAAAAGAGAGAGAGAGAGAAAAAGAAAAATTGAGATTCCTGGGCTGGCAGATGGTGCGGAGGGTAAGGGAGATGGACCCCACACGGCCAACTGCATAATGCAAGTCTCAGACTCAGCAACTAGGAAATCATGCTGGGCCAGTCTGTGTGCGTGCCCAAAATCCGAAGACGAGACTAGAGGAGAAGTGATTGCGGCGTGGTCATCCCCCTGGGGGGTAGTTTCTCACTTTCCCTCTCTCTCCCTCTCTCTCTGTGTCTCTCTCTGGTGAGGACACACACCCTCTATAGCAAAAAAAAAAAAAAAAGTTTAAAAAAATTGGATTCCTGACCCTATCCCATATCTGATGATAATAAATGTGAGTCTCTGCATGATGGGCTTGGTTAATTTACGTATTTAACAAGCGTTCCCGGTACACCCTAGCCTTAAGTTCGAATCCCTGCTAGCCTAGATTGTGGGAACTAGAATCCCAGGACTCAGAGCTTCCCAGGTTCCTCTGGCTTTGTGTAGTAACCTGTTTCAGTTGTTTCATGGGAAAAATATATTCTGAGTCCAGACAGTTAAATTAAAATTTTATTTTGAGAACACAGTTTATATGTTGGAGATTGAGCTTTAGTTCATGTGAAAATAGAAGTTACGGGGAGAAGGGTGATTTCTTCCCGTGTTTTGTCCCACGGATGTAAAATATACTCACTGCTCTTTGGAATGTTACTAGCATGTTTTTGTCTGCAACAAGCTACAAGGAAGAAATTGAGGACCGAAGGAATTACAAGTCCCGGCCACACACACTTTGTGACGTGGTTAGTGCCCCTTTAGCTCTTAGACTTCCTAATAAACGTTAGCTGACCATTGTTGGTTTATAATTAACACTGCTCTTAAGAAAGGCAGACGAACGTTGGCTTGAAAAAATTACAGGCCAAATGCGTTCTCACTGGAGAGAAGAAAGACCAAAAATGTGGTCAGGGGCGAACGGGGAGGGAGCGTGTGGCTGGCAGACTTGAAATTCACACCCCGTCCCTCCCCTCGTCCTCTTGGCCTGATTGCAGGCCGTGACTGGTGTGGGGAGGTGTCATTGTGTGGAACTGTTGTCGCTAGCTGGCCTCCCGTCATCTCTGAGCGCTCACCCGCACGCATCTGTTACCCACTGCCCGGCTTTCGGAGATAAATGCATTACGTGAGCATCCGCGTTTAGCTGGGTGTTTCTCTTTAACAGCTACTTGAGACTGTTTAGACAGGTGCAGGGGCACCTCACGAGAGAGCGGGGAGAGTGGGACGTAGCAGCCGCCCGCGTAGGTGCCAGGATGGGTCCGAGGCGTCCGTTTAAGGAGTAGTCGTAGTGAATTCATCCTCAGCTTCGCTTATCTCATGGGTTTGCCGTTTCCCCATTTATAACCGTTAGCCTTACATAGAAAAACGTAGTAAGAACCATCTTTACTTTTGTGGCTAAGTGTGTATTTGTATGAAATTGTACAAATGGTGTTCTTGGGGTCAGAAGCCCCCAGACTGTTTAGCAAGCCTTCAGCCCAGCCCTGCCTGGCACATTAAAACTGCCGGGGAGCTTCCAGAATGAGCCTTGTGCCGGCCGTACCAGGCCAGTCGGGTGTACAGGTCGGGGGTCGGGCACTTGGAACCCTTTTTTTTTCCCCCATTGGTTAATAAAGCTTTCTAGGTGATTTTTGATGTGTGGCATGATTGAGAATAAATAAATTAAATCACCGCTTCTTAAATGATCTCTGGGGAGGAGTAGTTTTTGATTTATTTCTAATCTGTTGCAAACCGATGTTTCTTTTTTTAAAAGATTATTATTATTTTTTTTTTTTTACTTATTTACTCATTTATTTTAATTTGACTAGAGAGAAACAGAGAGAGAGGGAAAGTGAAAAAGCAAGCTGCCAATCTGAGGCTTAAACCACGATCAGCTATGTGGGAGTCCAGCACCTCAGCCACCACGCCAGCTGCCGGCCTGTGAACTGACACTTAAAAAATAGTAAAATGAATTATTGGAAAAGTGTCACTTAAGTTCCAATTACTGGTTACGGGATTCAAGAGAAAGGGACATTTCTCTGTCGAAGTGCTACAGTGTGTCTAAGCAGTCAGGCTGCAGGTCAGGCTGGACTGTGGCCACGCTTGGAGTAGCCCAACTTCAGACCATCGCTCGTGCTGACCAGTTAGTCACTGATGGCAAAATGGCTAATCTTTTTTCTGTAAGGCAAATTGTGGAAAATTATTTTTACTTACCATTGATGTAGAGTCTCGCTTGGTTTAAGCATTCTACAAAGTTCACAAATTAAAAAAGCAAGCCAGGGTCCTTTGGTAACGTAGGGATTCTGAAGTCACGAGATATACCAGCTAAGTTTAGGCTGCCATCCGCCTCTGCGGACTTCATAACGCCTCTGTCGATGTCCTCAATTTCAGGGTGTGAGCATACTTTGGGTTTAAGTATTGTCTTACCCTTTTCAAAATATTTACTTCATCGTTTCCTGTGTGTTTTCATTTAAATTACGTAACCTGTCGTCCCAACAGCCTGTATGGCCAGTGGGCTGAGATGGTCACACTTACTTCCCAGTTTGGGAAGATGACACTGGTTGCTTACATGAGGGACCTGGTGTCTCTTCCATCTGAGTTGGAAAAGAAAAATCAAAATGGGTTTCCTGATTCTGTTCTAGTTCTGTCTCTGCACTGCAAAGGTATTTCCACGCGTGCAGTAACTGCTGACACTGTGGTGGCCACGAGACGTGGTGGCTGAATTCTAAGTTGGAGACAACGTCTAAGTTTTCGAAGCACTGTAAGGCATAGGTAGACGTAAATGCAAACTGTTCTTTCTTCTTAGGGATTTTTGCTGTAGGACATGTTCATTTGCCAGAGAGACAGAGAGGACAGAAAGTGAGAAACCACCCCTCGGGGGGATAGGCACACTGCAGTCCCTTCTCTTCCATCCTCCTCTCAAGATTTTGGGCGCACACGCACACGAGCCTAGTGTGTTTCAAGCCACTGGGTCTGGGCCTTGAACCACGGTCGACTGCATGGGAGTCCAGTGATGTAACCATGATGCCATCTGCTAGCCCCAGACTGTTCATTTTTTGTGGGAGAAATACCTGAAGTTTTCTTGTTGAGAAAATAAGTGTAAAAGTAAAAGGTAAAATTTCTTACGGTCTTTGTTTCTTTTTTTTCCCCTCAAAACTGCAGAATTTGTTCAATATGGTTGTAGAAGTTCCGCGGTGGACGAACGCTAAAATGGAGGTAGGGCGCTATCCCACTGCTGCAAAATCGAAATGATAGCGCTGTGGAAACTTGAAGTCATCTGGCAAAATATTTCGAAGTTGTCTAACTTTTTTAGAAGTGAAAACGTGCACTCACCAGGTGTCCCTGATGGGGCATGACTGGGCGACAGTCCTTTTTCTTCTCTTCCCCTCCTCCTGGGGTACTGGACACATGGATGCATGCACACACGGCGTGTTTCCAAAGCCGCCAGGACCGGGGTTCAAACCACTGTCTTCATCCCTGTGCTGCGAGACCAGCCCTGTCCAACTAGGTTGTTTTCCTTGCCCTCCTTTCCTTGAAAATGGCCAGTATTTTCCAGGTTTACTTAACTAGGTTCCGGGATGCATTTAGTTCACAGACACAACTGAATCACCTACCAGGCTGAGGGCAGTTTTACATTCTGAGGACTTAATTCCACTCTAGGTTTGAGTCTCCCAGAGCATCTGCTGTTCCCCGGTTAGCTTTTCTTTTTCCCAGTTAGCTTTTCTTTTTCCTTTTTTTTTTTTTTTTTTTTTTTTTTTTTTTTTTTTTTTTTTTTTCTTAAAA